ACCAGAGTCCGCCCAGAGTCCAACCAGAGTCCGACCAGAGTCCGACCAGAGTCCAAACGGAGTCCGCCCAGAGTCCGACCAGAGTCCACCCAGAGTCCGACCGGAGTCCGACCGGAGTCCGACCAGAGTCCGACCAGAGTCCACCCAGAGTCCACCCAGAGTCCGACCAGAGTCCACCCAGAGTCCAACCGGAGTCCGACCGGAGTCCGACCAGAGTCCGACCAGAGGCTGACCGGAGTCCACCAGAGTCCGACCAGAGGCCGACCGGAGTCTGATACAGAGTCCGACCCAGAGTCCGACCCCCGGATAAAATGGACTCCATGTTCATGGTTTCTCCTGCATGATGTCAGAGTACGCCCAACACTTCTTGTTTTTTATTCTCATGCGGTTTGTAGCATGAAAGTGAAACATGGAACATTAAATATCAAGTGATGTCCAACAGATGCAACTGAAACTGTAAACAAACCAGGTTTGGTTTTGAGAAAACAATGGAAATGTGGAAGCTAAATGCTAAACATTTCTTTGTGACCGTTTGTGGCCGGAGTTGTAACAGCTTTGGGTTTTTCATGGTAGTTTAGTTTTATTTTGTTTTGATCTAATTCAATTAGTTTTCTCAACTATCAGTTAAATATTGTTTAGTTTTTATTAGATGATAGTAGTAGTTGTAGTTTTTATACTTTGGTAAGTATTGTAATTATCTATACATCGATTGGTTAATGAATACCAATTAGAGCTCTCTGTGATGGCTGGGCAATTAATCGATTTTATAGATTACTAAACTTTTTGGTTTTTGAAGATTTAATTTTTGGAAAGTGTTCTTTTTTCTTTTTTTTACCATGTCAGTGCGCCCAAGGCCGCCATCTTGTTTGATGAGCGTGTTTTACAGTTTGTTTATTTGGACTTTCAATTCTGTGAAGGAATATTAGAGTGAGATTATGAAAACCAAAATAAAGTCAAATATCATAAGAATATTTATAATATAAAGAAAATACCAGAATACAGTTGCAATATTAGTAGAATGAAGTAATAATTTTATGAGAACTCCATGGTGGATTCACACCAGCCATGTTTAATCCGGTTTAATCCAACTCCAGTCCGTTTGTCTGGAAAGTTTGGTTCGCTTGGGAAGGTGAGAATGCTAATCGACCAGCTACAAACCCCAGTCTGGGTTTGGCTGAAATGATCTCTGATGCGGTTTGAACATTTATGTGAACGCCAAGCAAACTGGAAACTGCTCCAAAAGCAGGAAGTGGACTATAACGCAGGGCATTCTGGGTAAATACAACCAAAACAAACACAAGAGTTTAACACTAAAGGGAGAAATGGCTTGTGGACTTTTACCACAGACAAATAATTGCTAAAATTGCTAAAACCAATCAATAGTTTGGTTTGTTTCACTTAGTAAATACAACCAAAAAAAAAGCGTTAGTGCTAGTGCTAGCAGTAGTGCTATCGCTAGTGCTAGCAGTGGTGCTATCGCTAGTGCTAGTGCTAGCGGTAGAAATGACTCATGGTTTTCTGCCAGACAGAAGATAAATCCTTCAACCGGTAAAATCTGTCACCTCTCCATTTCTGTTTACCTTTCATGAAGAAGGAAGTTGAGCTCAGTGTCTTCTTCAGAGGTTTTCCTGTTTCCTTCAGAGGTTCTTGGTGCAGCGCCCCCAAAGGCGAGGAGGGGAACCACAGCAGCTGAAATTGTAACAAATGTTATCTTTGTCTACAATCGAACCAAATCTACTGGACTGTCGATGTGAAAACACCCTGAAACACAAAAACAGGCGTTTAAGTGGATCAGAGTTCGATGGCTCATTCTCACCTCCAGTCAAACCAACTGGAGTTCGATTAAAGCAAACCAAACATGGCTGGTGGAAATTCACCCCTTATTTTACTGTGTAATAGCGGCATACCCCAATAAACTCTGTCCTCTTCCTCTGCTAATTAGGCTCATCCAGTAAGTTCACAGGTATAAGCTCTCCATCCTGACACCTTGGTGAAAGAAGGAGGGAATGAAGCCCACATATTGTGGAAATCATCTTCCCCTCAGAGGCAGAGACGGGTGGGGGGGAGAAAGTCGGCTGTGCGATGCCTTGCCTTCCTCATTACACTGCTGTCATTTACTCTTCATCCCCCGTACTCTTTAGTGGCATTAAGACGGGATGTAAATTTGACAGTTAACGCTGTTAGAAAATGGCTAGTTCAAGAAGGGCAGGAATTAGAGATGGGCATTAGGCGCTGATAAGCTCCTTTCCTCTGCTGCGGCGGCTGCTTAACATTCATGGGAAAGTCATCATCAAACAACGTTATCACAGCTCTGTTGACGGCTGAGGAACATCATCACTATGATAATTTTTTTTATAGCTGTGAGCCAAAAAAGCACTCTTTTATTTCAGCGGTTTGTTAATGAGATAGGAGCTTGTTGGTATGGGCGAATGCAAACTTGCCACTCTCCAGCATTTGTTTGAGCGCCGCTCCCCAGCCCCCACCGCCGCCGCCGTCCTCCATGATGGCTCCCAGCTACCCTCCACACTGTTTAATGTTGCAGGCAGAGAGGGGAGGTGTTTAAACGCACTCCTCCCGAAGTGCGGTGTGTACACTGCTGAACGAGGGCCTTCATGTGCAGCTCTGCAGATCAGTCGCTCAAAGAGGAAAACACGCTTATATCAACAAACGCTGCCTGCTGAGGGCCGGCGGCACCTGCCACTCACCTGGCTGCATCCAGACAGTTAGAACTGCAGATGCTTCTGAACTGGAGACGAACCGATCTGTATCTGTATCAGATATGTATGTATCGGTGGCGATGTTCCCGATCTATAAAATCAGATCTACTCAGCTTAACACCTCACAGTGACCCAAATCCGCTTTTTCACCTTAATGACCTGCGTCTGATTGTTTCATGACAGTCTGAGCAACACAGATCAGATGTTTTTTAATGCAACCCAAGTTCTAAATCTGACACGAGTCTGACCTTTTCAAATGGACACTGCAAAAACAAAAAATCTCACCAAGTAGTTTTAGTCTAAATTTTAGAGAAAATGTCTTAGTACTCTTGAAATAAGACAAACTGAGAACTAACTTTTCAGCAAGAAACAGGAGCTTTTCTATGTACATAATTTGTTATTAATGATGAAAAACCACTTGGCAGAAAAATTAACTTATAACATGGGAAAAATACTTGTTGCAACTGAAATAATCTGCCAATGAAACTAGAACTTTCTCAACAATATTAAGGAATTATTGACTTAAAACAAGACTCTATATCTTGCTGAAAAGTTACTTGTAATTTAGATTTGTCTTATACCAAGAGTACTGAGATATTTGTACTAGAAATTAGACACACGTTCTCTGAGATTTTGTGTTTTTGCAGTGTGACCTTGTCGCAGTTTATTTTTGTCAGTTTCAGTTCCTTTATTAGTTATTTCAGAAAGGCTCTTATTCTCCTAATTTCACTGACTGAATACATTAAAGTTGCTTTTGGGAATATATCAGCACCAACATCGGTATGCGCATCGATATGTAATGTCTGCTATTGGTTTTCACTAACTGTTGACTCTATGATGAGTTTGTGACATTTTTTATGTTTTTATTATGTAAAAAACAATTTGAACTGATAAAACTAACAAATTAACAAAAAAAATGGAGAAAACATTTTGTTAACTGAAACAAACCGTAATTAACAGTGAAAACTATAAACTAATACTAAAATTATAGATATAATGTCCTGTTTTTGTGTTTTTGCATCTATTTATAAGCCTTTCGAACTGATGTGAATTTTTCAAAAAAATCCAGATTTTCCAAAACTTAAATCTTCAAACCAAAGATTCAATAAACCGATAAAACCGATTTATCGCTCAGACTGAATCCTGCATCATGTTCATTCACAACAGCCTGAATTTTGGTCCAACCATAAAACCACATTTCAGGACGATTTCTGTGTCTTTTACGCAGATTTCAGGCAACCTGACCCCAGAACAGGTCATGACCTTAACCTGGTGATTCTTCCTGTTAGCTGCAGACTTTATTTCATTTAAAGGATCAGTAAACTGACACAAACAGCAGATCTGTACTATTAAAGACGGAGGGATAGTTAAACTGATTTTCTCAGCATTCAGTCATTAGCTCCTCTGGATTCACACGTTCACTTGCTGCCAATAAGCTGCTTTTCCTCTGGAGATCGGAGACAAACTGCACTGCAGATATCAAAATCAGATTTTGGCTTTGCTGCTGTTCGTTTTTGAGAGATTCAAGTCTTTAAAAATCCTCATCAACAGGGGAAAACCAATCATAGCTAATGACTCCTAAAACTTTTTGTTTGTACAGTTTGTGAACTAAAGCAAGCAGCCGGATGTTTGGTACAGACACAGCCTTCAAATACACTGAAAAAAGAACAGGTGATTCAACTTAAACATACTGCATTAATTGGTCACAAGTAATCAAACTAAATTAATCCAAGTAAAGTTTGGAAAGAACCGCAATGTGTTTTTTCAGTACATTCGTACTGGAAACGCAGATGCTGTGTGGCTCCAAGATCCAGTAAAACCAACAGAGCTGCATTTAAACGTTTAGCAACAAAATAAATGATTTACAGCAAAATATTCTACAACTTTGACTCAGATGGTCATGTTTTGAAGTTATTGAGGACTGAAATAAAAAACAGACTAAAATAAGACAAACTAAATAAAAGGTAACTTTTCAGCAAGAATTAGAGGCTTATTAGGTAAATATTTCCTTAATACTTATTAAAAAGTATTTGTTTCATTGGCAGATAAATTAACTTATAACATGTTACAAGTGAAATAATCTGCCAATAAAACAGGAACTTTTTCATCAATGTTAAGGAACTATTTACCTAAAAGAAACCTCTGTACGTTGCTGAAAAGTTACTTTTTAATTCGTTTGTCTTATTTCAATCTATTTATACTGGAAATTAGACCAAAGAAACTTCATGTTTTGTGTTTTTGCAGTGTTATGGTGTGACAGGAAATGTTGGCGTCATGATTACAGGAAGTTTCAGCGGAGGACATTGCTGCCACGTTCCTCCGCCTGGTTTTCAGACGCTGCTGCGTCGAAAAGCTCATCCAGACTCAGCGTAGATTACGGCAGCACAAGGTCTCATCATTTAGCTAGAACTAAAACAGGCTGACAGAGTGACACACCATCACAGGTAGGAGCTCTGGAGCCGAGCACTCACATCACCACACCTGGCAGATCACAACCCGGCGGTTTCCTAGCTTTAAAATACGGCAACAGCTCCAACCGGAAACATTTAGAAAACTCT